GAAGCTCGACCACGATGCCTGATGGTCCTGAATAAATGGAGACACGGAACGCCGCCGCGCGCGGGGATTTCATAGACCGCAGCTTAATGAGCACTCGCCCCAGCTCTTTGACAGCTGTCTCAGTATCACCCAGCATTCCTAGCTCGTTGCCGTATATCGACAGCAAGCTCTCCACAGAGCACAAAAACCTGATTCGCGTAATCATTTCAAGCAAGTCATACCGCAGCGAACTTGTAGTGGATTTGGACCAAAACTCCCGTGGTTGCGTGTATGGACGTACATGATTTGCTGGAAACACGTGACGAGCGCACTTGTTGCCTGACAAAATGCCACCTCGAGTCGACGCTCAACGTCCCAATCTAGCTTTCACGCGTCGCCGACTTACAGACATGCATTAATTGTTTGGAATTAGCGTTTTATGATTTATGACTGAGATTGTAAATCACTTCTGAAAACCGGCAATATTCTCGATCCTACCTATCAGAAGGCGTGAATCTAGTAAAATACGGTAATATAAAAGGGTGGGGGAGTGGTGAACGAAATCTTGGGGGAGCGGCTAACGATTTCTTAAAAAACTGCCCCGCGTCTAAGGATACACTAGTTAATGTGGCACAAAAATAACCACACGTTCTGAATATTTTTTCCCCAGTTTACGGCCGTGACCAACCCCCGCCGTGTTTGGGGCGGCGCGGAGAGGGTTCTGCCGCGGGCGTGCTGCACTTGCAGCCACCAGTTGCAGGCACAGATGCGAGATATAAGTACGTAAACTCGTCTCAGTATCATCGGTAGCGGCCGTAAACTCAGTTATGTCGGTACTAGTGCTGTTGATATATATTAATGCCATTGCCTTTGTTATTGTTGTTTCAGTTGCTAATGTTGATACTACTACCATTGTTGCTGCTGCTGTTGTTGTTGTAGGCGCTTCGGTTTCTACGAATGTTGTTCTAATTGTGGTTCGCCTGTCCGCGCTCACCGGCGGTAATACGTCGACGTGTCCTGTCGCCGTTCTGCAGTGGTCAACGTCGACGCTCGCCGAGTCCGTTCCGACGCCGGCGAAGTTTGGGTCGCAGTCGCAGTCGGACTCCGAGTCGCAGTCGGAGCAGCCGGAGCAGCCGCAGCCGCAGATGACGATGCAGTCGCGTGTGGCCAAGGTAAAGGCACGTGGTGCAGCCGCTGCAGTGGATGGTTTCGCGTGCACGAACGCCCGCAACACGCGTGTGCTGGTGCTCATGACGGACAGTGTACGCGTGCGTGTATGTGTGTGTAGCTAGAGAAAGACGAATGTAAAGCTGCTCTTACGGAGCTACGCTTAATACTAATAACAAGGTTATTTATAAAGATGGGATTCAAGCAACAGACACAACGAATTGTCAGCACCCACTGTAAGGGGTTTAAGTAGATTTGTCGTGCTCATAAAAATTGCGTTGAGTAGCATCATATAATGAAAGATAACGTAAATCAATGTGCCGCGCTGGAGTCAATTGAAGTATGGATGCATCATGTATCTCGACATGGAAGGCACTTGAGTATACTAGTACATGGGGCGCTTTTTATCGGTGTTTCGCAAGATGTGATACAAAAACGAAAATTTCGCAAGATGTGATACAAGGTATTTATACAAAAAATATAAATTGAATGACAACGATCAAATTGAAAGCTATCTTATGGCCCAAGTTACTGTTTGTTTGATCAAGTATTGACAGGGTGCATCTGGCTACCATCATCTGATTCCGCCCGAGAAGACGGGGGAGGCGCTTACTGCTAAAGTACACTGCGAGTTCTTTACCGAATTAGAAGTGATGTATGGCAATGCACTAGCAGCGGGCGGAGGCTTTCACCGCGTCACGACAGTCAAGGGTGTGACAGCTGAAGTTTCGCCCAACACCTTTATCTAATACAAAATCTCATCACCGAATTCAAAGACGGCATCTTATAAGTCTGATTCTTATTCTGAGTCCTCGCACGGGACCACGCAGCATTGTATTGGCAGCGAACAAGAGGGCGAGTGGATGAAGTTGGACAAGTCATATCGATCGATCGACCGAATGGACGCTTTCTATGGTTTAAAGTGACACCATTGAAGCCCCCGACGTCGAGTGTGCATATTTCGACGTGGCACAAGGAATGTGACGAGTATCTGTCGCGTTTAGCTTGTGGAAATCGCGTCGATAAGCTCGGAAAACATACGAACGTGAACATGACTCCGGCGTACTCGTTCTTACGCAAGCAAGTCTGTGGGATGCCAATATGAAGGACTTGCAGCTCGTACGGGATCAGTTTAACCATTACTTTAACGACCGAGAAAAGCATCAGGCGTATCCGCCGCGATCGCTTGAGCCGTTTATTCAAAAGTCGTTGCCGCATTTACTTTTGCTCGGCGCCTAACATTATTGTAATAAATGTAAAGTATGGGGTATCTTTATAATATAAATTCAGCTATATACAAGTTAGACCAAAACATAGCGTTACGGTGTAATATCTCGGAAGTCTAACGTTAATACCAGCGGCATGTAGCCTTGTTGTGTCCCGATGTACCACACTGTTTACATTTACGATAGCATTCCTTTTGATCGTTATAAATTAAATATATGTCTTATATAACCTACCTTGTATCACATCTTGCGAAAAATTTATTTTTGATACACATGTTACAAAAACTCTTTTTATTTATATACTATCTAAACAAATTAATTTTATTTTTTAATCATAACAGGATTAATTTTATTTGTACAATTAAGAAATGATTTTTATATTATCTTATTTATTTTTAAACTTAATGTTATAAAGACATTTTCTCGTTTTAAACAATCTTTTGATATGTGTTATACATTAGACAATTCTCAAGATATCCTATGTAAAGCCCGCACGCCATACATACTTAATTTTTACTGACAATAAATGCAGGGTAAACACATCTGCACTTTACTAAACAAATGTTTCTATGACTTATCAGGGCTTCTACCTCTATTGTATCATTCTTTTTATACAAATTGTAAAATATTTGGCAATGGTGTAATTCTATCAATAAAAAAGAAAACAATATTTATATATTTAGGTATGCTCACATTGACGAAAGTTGAAACGGGGTGAGTCTGTTTTATAAGAATTGACATGAATGTATCGATTAAATTAATTGTTTCTAATATAATATTCAATTAACTTTACTCGAGAAGAGATAATGCTGGCAGAATATTTCTCCCGAGGGTAATATTCTTGGTTGCTCCACTAAGTGGTTGATGTAGACGCTACATCAATTATATAATACCACCAAAGGCTGCTTGACGCGCTCAATGGAAGGTGAGCAAATCACACACATAAGGGATTGTAGTTTAATTGGTTTGATGTAGACAAAAATGAATTTTCAAAGATACATAACTATATTTAATACAGTTCTACTCTTCCCTGGACAGAGCTTTCTAACTATGTCTACTTTCTCGCACTTCCTCACGCCACTTGTACGTGGCGTCGGATGTACGTAGCCATGTGCTCGGTTCACACAAGGTCTTACCTGTCATCTGTAATAGCGTGTTCCGTTACGGAACTAGCGTTTCACAAATCAGTTCCAGCTTAACCTTAATGAGAGTAATGCTGGAACGATTTGTACATCCAACATTTAGTAGGCCGAAAGCAAGTACCTAATGATTAATTGATGAGCCACACATGGTAAAATGTTGTAAAGTAAGTTTTGCGTAGCAACGACGTGAAAGATCGAAAACACATCAGAATTGTTAGTCTACTTTTATTCTTATTTTTGGAGGTTAACCACGCACAATAAATATGCATGTGAACCTTTTTGATCATATTATGTGGGAGTCCTTACAGACGCTAGGAAGCGTGGCGGCGAAGTCAAACATACCAACCAGGCGTACTACATATCGTCTACATTGCACTGCACTAAACTTCTCACAAGCAAGGTCCTTCGTCTGCATCGACCAATTTACGAACACCAATGTTGCATTATCTGAGTAAAATCTGCCGGGCATTGAGTTTATCCGCTGTTTTCAAGAAAAAAATTGTTTTGTGCAAATGCATGATAGTTCGATACTGATCGCACAGATCAGCGGATAACTTAGAATATTGCAAAGTTATGTTATTTGCATATCTGTAAAATCAACATGTGATCGATCAATAAATTTAAAATTTTCACCGGGCAGTACGAACCTGATCAGACAGTGTCAGAAGTCAAGTCAGAATGGGTCGGATTATAATCGTTGCCACATTCTTTGTGCAATATCCGTCCGTACCTAACGCATTTATATAAATACAGGTGATCGTTTAAATTTGAGGCACACACGGCAAGTAACAATATTTATTGCAGCTATGCGCCCGTATATCATGTAGTTAGGACCTTAATAGAATTAACAATTTATTCAAATACATAAGCTGAACGACATGGTCGTTGTTCCCGCCACGATAGTGGGAACACGGCGCTGATCGACGTGGTGAGTTGTTCCCGCCACGGTCAGTCGGTAGAGGGCAAGTGGCGCCAACGATGGAGGGGGTACACACGAGGGGTACACGTTGAAGTTGAAAACAGCGCGCGATGTTTTGGTGAACATGATGACGACGATGATGATGACCGCAAACGCCTTCACAGCGGACCAAAGGAGCGCATTCGTTTGGCGTCATCAGTCGGCGACAGAGTCTCTGGTGTACTCGCGCTGTCCACGGGTCGGTCTGATCTTCGGAAGGTGTAGATTGGCAGTTTGGTCCACCGCCGACGGCGGACGGTCCCACGCCCAAACGAGTGCGTTTCCACTGGACCAAACGATCACCCGAGTGCGTGTTTACTCCTTGGCAATCATTTCAGTCTCCTACGCGACCTCCTACTTCCACGATCCGCAGACTGTCACACTCGAGCACAACACACACCAAACAAATGAACACGAGCGCTGTACGAGTCATTCTCGAGATTCAAACACGCAGCCGCACACGCGACTTCCTCCGGCTCAGCTACTCACAGCAGCAGTTCCACGTGCGCCCCCCCCCCCGACTGCCGCTCACTTGTCGACCGACGCCATGTACAGCATGAGGTCCACGAGGCGGTTCGAGTAGCCCCACTCGTTGTCGTACCACGCCACGAGCTTCACGAACCTGTCGTTCAGCGCAATGCACGCGTCCGCATCGAACGTGCTCGAGTGCTTGTCGTGCAGGAAGTCGCTCGACACCACCTGGTCTTCCGTGTACCCGAGGATGCCGGCCAGCTCGCCCTCGGCCGCCGCCTTGACCGCCGCCTTGATGGCCTCCATGGACGCAGGTCTCTCGAGACGGCACGTCAGGTCCACCACCGACACGTCGGGCGTCGGCACGCGGAACGCCATGCCCGTCAACTTGCCGTTCAGCACGGGCAGGACTTTGCCCACGGCCTTGGCCGCGCCCGTGGACGACGGGATGATGTTCTGGCCACAGCCGCGACCGCCGCGCCAGTCCTTCCCGCCCCGCGACGGGCTGTCCACTGGCAGCTGCGTCGCCGTCGTCGCGTGCACTGTCGTCATGAGGCCCTCGACGATGCCGAACTGGTCGTTGATCACCTTTGCGAGTGGCGCGAGGTAGTTGGTCGTGCACGACGCGTTCGACACGACGTGGGCCGAGCCGTCGTAGTCCCTGTGGTTCACGCCCATGACGTACATGGGCGTCGCGTCCTTGGGCGGGGCCGAGATCACCACCTTCTGGCAGCCGCCGTCCAGGTGGGCCGTCGCGTGCTCTGTGGTCGTGAACACGCCCGTGGACTCGCACACGTACGTGGCGCCGGCTTTGCCCCACGGGATCTCCGACGGGTTGCGGGCGGCAAACACGTGGATGACGTCGCCGTTCACCACGAGATTGCCGTCTTTGGTGGCGACGGTCCCGTCGAACTTGCCGTGCGTCGAGTCGTACTGGAACAGGTACGCCATGTACTCCACGTCCATGAACGGGTCGTTGATCGCCACGACTTTGGCCTCGCAGTTCTCGATGGCGGCACGAGCGACGAGGCGACCGATGCGGCCGAAGCCGTTGATGCCAATGGCCACTTGGTCCAAGGCTAAAGCCAAGGAGCCAGTAATAAACCGCTCTGCGCTGGCCGTAGATCCCACAAAATCTGCTTGGCAAATGCAGGTACTCGCTACCTGCTGGACGCGAAGTAGGCAGTTTTCAACGAAGAGCAAACGTCTGTTTGCAGCTGCTGATGTACTACAGCTCTGGCGTCCATTCCGACCAACAAATATCCTGCAGCATTTTTGGTGTTGCCGCTAGGATGGTAAAGTGGAGTAACAGCATGCGACGGGGTGTTACCATTATGAGATTGATATGGCATGACCATTACGCACTCAGCCGTGTCTTTCTTGATCGACAATCGACGTCCCTGCCGAAGCGCTGCATTTATTGGGTTGACAATGTAAGTGGAACTCGCCCTTGTACAAGTTGCAGTGCCGGCCAGTGCACTCGCCACTCCTTGCGTCATCTCGTTCGTAAAGCTCAAGTGAATTTACCCATGGAAGGGTACCGTATCAGCCGAATGTCAAGTACCGAGCATCAGTAGCATCTGTTCAATACGGATGTGATGGTGCTCCATGCTTGCTCAAGTCAATGAGTGCGCAACACAGCTTGCTTTCGACGTCTCTCCTGGACCGACTTATAGCTCTTACGTCCTACTGCGATCGATCACAAACGTCATCAAGATACCCTGGTCCCGACAAGACTGACCTCTACAGATCCCGACAAGGCCAATATCCTCAGGCTTCTTCGAAATATGAACGTACCGCAAAATGATGGATTCAGTTTGGACTAAGAATTGACTCCCGCATAACCCTTTTTGGCACTCAGTCGTCTACCTCTACCGCGATAGTAGCATGACAATCGTCTAGCGTTACCCTACTTCATTGCCACATACTGCCAGCCTCACCCGACACGAGTCGTGCACGTATGAACTCGCAATGCAATGTTACACTTGAAGGAGTCTTCTCATATCTCAGGCAAAGAAAGACATTGATGTTATTTATGTAAAACTGGATTTTCTTTCCTCCATCGAGCAAGTCGACGATTACCCGAGACAACAACCGACACGCAAAACGATCTTTCGACTTTTTACGACCACCCTTTTGCTTCTTACGGCGCGCTCCGATTGGTCGATCGAAGCTCCAGGATCCGTCCGCCACGTATCCAGTGTCACCTCCCACGGCTCCCACTGCGTTGAAGCACGAGCAAACCGCCATCGGCTCATGCGACAAATGTAGCCATGTACCATCAAGCGCCTGATTGCTGATCCCAATCGAGGGGACCATCTGCATCCATCGCATCACTTTCCCTTTTGCCAGCTCCGACGCACATCCCGTCCAGAGGCCTCTTCTCTTCTCTTCCCCACTCCTCACTCCTCTCCACTCCCCACTCCCCCATCACTCATGTCGGACCAAGTGGCCATTGGCATCAACGGCTTCGGCCGCATCGGTCGCCTCGTCGCTCGTGCCGCCATCGAGAACTGCAAGGCCAAAGTCGTGGCGATCAACGACCCGTTCATGGACGTGGAGTACATGGCGTACCTGTTCCAGTACGACTCGACGCACGGCAAGTTCGACGGGACCGTCGCCACCAAAGACGGCAATCTCGTGGTGAACGGCGACGTCATCCACGTGTTTGCCGCCCGCAACCCGTCGGAGATCCCGTGGGGCAAAGCCGGCGCCACGTACGTGTGCGAGTCCACGGGCGTGTTCACGACCACAGAGCACGCGGCGGCCCACCTGGACGGCGGCTGCCAGAAGGTGGTGATCTCGGCCCCGCCCAAGGACGCGACGCCCATGTACGTCATGGGCGTGAACCACAGGGACTACGACGGCTCGGCCCACGTCGTGTCGAACGCGTCGTGCACGACCAACTGCCTCGCGCCGCTCGCAAAGGTGATCAACGACCAGTTCGGCATCGTCGAGGGCCTCATGACGACAGTGCACGCGACGACGGCGACGCAGCTGCCAGTGGACGGCCCGTCGCGGGGCGGGAAGGACTGGCGCGGCGGTCGCGGCTGTGGCCAGAACATCATCCCGTCGTCCACGGGCGCGGCCAAGGCCGTGGGCAAAGTCCTGCCCGTGCTGAACGGCAAGTTGACGGGCATGGCGTTCCGCGTGCCGACGCCCGACGTGTCGGTGGTGGACCTGACGTGCCGTCTCGAGAGACCTGCGTCCATGGAGGCCATCAAGGCGGCGGTCAAGGCGGCGGCCGAGGGCGAGCTGGCCGGCATCCTCGGGTACACGGAAGACCAGGTGGTGTCGAGCGACTTCCTGCACGACAAGCACTCGAGCACGTTCGATGCGGACGCGTGCATTGCGCTGAACGACAGGTTCGTGAAGCTCGTGGCGTGGTACGACAACGAGTGGGGCTACTCGAACCGCCTCGTGGACCTCATGCTGTACATGGCGTCGGTCGACAAGTGAGCGGCAGTCGGGGGGGGCGCACGTGGAACTGCTGCTGTGAGTAGCTGAGCCGGAGGAAGTCGCGTGTGCGGCCGCGTGTTTGAATCTCGAGAATGACTCGTACAGCGCTCGTGTTCATTTGTTTGGTGTGTGTTGTGCTCGAGTGTGACAGTCTGCGGATCGTGGAAGTAGGAGGTCGCGTAGGAGACTGAAATGATTGCCAAGGAGTAAACACGCACTCGGGTGATCGTTTGGTCCAGTAGGAACGCACTCGTTTGGGCGTGGGACCGTCCGCCGTCGGCGGTGGACCAAACTGCCAATCTACACCTTCCGAAGATCAGACCGACCCGTGGACAGCGCGAGTACACCAGAGACTCTGTCGCCGACTGATGACGCCAAACGAATGCGCTCCTTTGGTCCGCTGTGAAGGCGTTTGCGGTCATCATCGTCGTCGTCATCATGTTCACCAAAACATCGCGCGCTGTTTTCAACTTCAACGTGTACCCCTCGTGTGTACCCCCTCCATCGTTGGCGCCACTTGCCCTCTACTGACTGACCGTGGCGGGAACAGCCCACCAATCACCGCGCACTGTTCCCCTCCCGCCATTATCACTGTCGATTCCACACCATGAAGCGCAAGTGCCGCGCGCCTCCTCCTCCAGCGTCTCCGCGCTCTACTCGCAGCCGTTCCAGTGCCCCGTCCTCTCCCGACAGTGACGTCGCCGCATCTCCACCCGCCGCTGTCCACGACGTCGTCAATAGCCGCCGCAGCAGCAGCAGCACCGCCGGCGTCTCGAGAGAGCGCGCGCTGTACTTTGCCACTGGCGAACGGCCGTCCAGCGCCGCTCGACCGGCCGCCGACGACAAGGAAGCGTGGCCAGGCTACTTTGCAACCGCGCGGCAGCTCCGGGACAACCGCCAGGCAGCGCAAGACGCGCGCAAGCAGCGCCAAGACGTCGAGCAGCTGCAGCAGCGTCACTTGGCGCCCGAACACGTCGTCGTGTGGCGGCCACAGCGCGCGCCCCGGGCGTCTGTGTTGACGGCAAACGACGTGGTCCACAAGCTCAAGGACATTGCGCTCAACAGCCTGGCGGCCCATGTCGAGCAGCTGCCGACGCTCGCGTACATCGACGCCAGTGCGCGCCACCAAGTCGCCCGAGCGGTCGTCGAGCGCCGGAAGCTTCTGCCACACGTCCTGCCCTTGTTTATCTTTCCAGGCGTCACGGAGATCGACATTCCCGACTGCTCGCACATTGACGAGGAGTCGCTGGTGCAGGCGCTGACGCAGTGCACTGATGCAAGTGCTACTAAATTAGTGCTCACGGTGCTGCGCCTCGGACTCTGTGGCCGATGCGTCTCGGACAGCGTCATTCAGGAACTCGGACCTGCGCTGAACACGGTGGAAGAGCTCCAGTTGCAGGGATGCTACCGGCTTTCGGACGCAGGATGCCAAGACCTCGTGCGACGCTGTGCGCCGTCGCTCGATTCGCTGGAGCTCTCGTGCAATCAGCGCATCACCAAGCAATCGATCGATTGCTTTGGTGAACTGCAGCAGTTGCACTCGCTGACGCTGTCCGAGTGTCCGCAGTTGGACGACGCAAGTTTAGCCTCGCTGAAGTGCATGAAGCAGCTGAGGAAGTTGAAATTGAACCAATTGGAGCGCGTGTCGGACGCGTTTTTCGTCTCGTTGGCACAGAGTTTGCCGGAGCTGGAGGAAGTTTCCTTGGCAAGATGTTCGCAACTGACAGACACGGCGGTCAAAGGGATTCTTAACGCTTGTCGGGGACTTAAAGTGCTGGATGTGTCAGACTTGCATCGGATCACCGACGGGTGCTTTGAACCAGTCCGGGAACATGGCCACGCCCTTCGTCGAGTTTCCATGCGCTGCTGCTTGGAGCTGACAGACGCGGCCTTTCAGCACATTGCGTTGGGTGCCCAAGCGTATCTTGAAACGCTCGAAATGTCTAGCGTGTCGGTAAGCTGCTACTGTAGCTCACGTGCGAGTTGATTTGTTGGTGGTGGTCTCATGGGTCGTTGCGCTTTCTTCTATTGTGCTGCATGCAGCAAGCCACGGATGCCACGATGACGGCCTTGCTGGAGCATTGTGCATCCAGTTTGACAACACTCGATATTTCGTTCTGCCGGAATATTAGCGAGGATGCGCTAGGCGTCTTGACCGATGGGGCTGACAATCTCGGCTCGTTGGTGCTCTGGGGTTGCACGCAGGTTTGCTTTCCGTGGCATGTCACTGTTTCATCTGAGATGCACTGTCTAAGTGTATGCGATTGTTGTGCGCTGTGTATGTGAAGATCACAGCCCGCTATCTTACTTGTCACTCGCGCGACAATTTGATCGTCACTGGGCACCCTCTCCTCACAGGCCTTTCAGTTCGATACTAATACGAGGATTGTTGTGCACAATATACGTGTTACGGCCTTTTCCTCATACGTTCCCGAAGTGATGGGACACGACGTTGCAATATTTTTGCCGCATCTAGACTTCAACGTCCATTGAAACAATAATGGCTGGTGCACGCTACGTAATGATGAGACGGCGAAGACTGTTCCCAGATTTCGTTGACGCGATTTCTAGGGAAAGGAAGCGAGTCTCTCAGTTTTGTGGCGTGTCAATGCAAGTCTCAGATTCCCGACTTATCATGGCGACGCAAGGTCGCTCATCCAGCAACTTTTTTGAAGATTTCCCGACCATCACAAGTCATTTCGCGCTGTGCGAGCTGAAGAATTAACTGCCATATTATGATGGAGCTGCGCCACTCTCCTTACCAGCGCCGAAAAAGTGTAAAAATGTGAGTGACGGTGGCAACTAACTAGTCGAGGGCTGGACCGCATAGTCGAATTCACTCACGTACGTTTTGTGTGTTCGCAGCAATGAAATGCTGAGTTGGACGCTGGAAGAAGTACATACAAAGCTGGAAGAAGCTGTTGCAACGAGAAGCTGTGCCTAACGCGTTGTTGCTCTGTGTGATACGGTTGTGAAGGATTCATTGCTTCGTGATGGCGTGTGCCAGTTTGGAGGCAAAAACTGGAAGGCAATCTCGAGCCGCATGGAACACCGGTCCCCTGCCGAGTGCAGCAAGCGATGGAATATGCTCCAAGGTCTTGACACGGTCGTAAAACGACCTTGGACCGATGAGGAAGACTCGGAGATGATGCGCTTGGTGAAGAAGTATGGGGCGAGCAAATGGTCGGTGATTGCTTCATACTTGAAAGACCGAAATGGCAAGCAATGTCGAGAACGGTGAGCATTGCAGTGTAGATGAACGACGTGTTGGCAAGCGGGATGTAACGACCAGCTAATAATGTTCTGTCATGTCTTGTAGATGGCACAACCAGTTGAATCCATCTATCAAAAAGACGCCCTGGACTGAAGAGGAAAACGAGATTATTTTACGATTGCAGGCTCAATTGGGTAACTGTTGGGCCAAGATCACTGCTGCGCTTCCTGGCAGGACGGACAACAGCGTGAAAAATCATTGGCATTCTTCGCTTAAGTCCTTGGGCAAGCGCGCACGTGAGGGCGACGACGCTTCATCCCGTGGGGATTTACCAAAGTCCAATCGAGCCAAGTCGAGGAAACAACCCCGCAAGGCCAAGTCATTGAAAAAGGAGAAGGAAAGCGTGACATCACCGAGCGTTGATGCCTCTGTTTGTGGTGATGAGGAGAAAGCGGCAAAGGAAGCGGATCTAGTGTGTGCAACGGACACGACGATCGCATCCCACATGTCTCCGCTCAGCGCTTCAGTCAATTGTCCAGTATCTGTCCCGGGTTGTGACGCGTCTGGTGCAAAGATTTGCACTGGTTTGTCGGCCATTTCGGGAGACGATCGCGGGGCGTTGTCTCCCGACTGCGTGTCCAGCGTCGACAATTTTGACCTGACGACTTCCTGTACCCGATCATACCAAGAAGGTGTACTGAAAGCTCAAGCCGTGATTGAGAACGTGTTGGATCCGATGGGAATGGGCCCTTACGGATTGAGCAACTTCTCGTTAAGTGGTTCCGAGATGGACATTATCGAGACGCAGCCTCATCATTCGTTCCAGCACTTGATGGCAACGTGGCATGCAAGTGATGACGATTTGTATCGTTCCGCAAGCAGCGACCTGCTGTCAGATCCCACGTCCCCTGCGCAACCTCCTTTCGGCTTGGATGAGCTCATATTTGATTCGCTATACGATATATGGGGTGGCGGAATTCAGGCGACGACTGGAAGCGCCCGAAGCGAATCTTTGGGTGAAGTCGCTCAGCGGTCGATGCTCTCGGAGTGGGGAACGTGCATCACGAATTCGTCTCCGTCTGTGGTCACGGCAGACTCTACTTGCGTGCTCGATGTTATGGATGAGACGGTGCGAGCGACTGCTAATATGGTACAAGCGTTCGATCGTATGGATGACACGGTGCGAGCAACGGCTGATAGTGCTCCTCTGAGTGACGTCGGTCAGCAGTCAATGCTCACGAAGTGGGAATCGTGCATGACAAGTCCGTCTCCGCCTGCACCTAGGGCAGATTCCCCGATCTGCGTACCTACTTCGACGCGCATTGCGCCAACTGTGTCGACGTTCGATCAGCTGGACAGTGACGCGTTGTTCCTGACCAAAGAAGAAGTACCAAGCGATTGTGCCAAGTGTGAGGATTTGACTGTGGACTGTAGTTTTAGGCAGTCGATTCCAAGCTGCGGATCATTTCCATCTTTGTTTGATGTGGAAATATAAGCTGATGGTGGAACAAGTTTTTGTTGGGGTCTCTGCTATAGAGTCGGCCGACCACATGTCCTGATCATGCTATGCCGTCTATAACAATCGTCTTACAGCTCTACTAGCACCAGTTTTTATCGACGTACGTTGTGTGTCTGTTTGTGTCGTTAAAAACGGTACCGTTTACGATTGCTCGAACATAATAATCGTGTGTTCACGTGCTGTATGTGTTTTGGTCGAACTTACACTTATACTTGTGGGAACGACAAAGCAGAAAATAGAAAATCTCGCCGCACCCGCGTTTGACTATCCCCACACCATTTCATCGGTAGAAATAAAATGCTGACCGTTGATTGGCTGATATAAAGGAAAGCAAGCACAAGACAAAAGGGTCAACCAGGCTTTGTAACGTACTCTTGTCCATTTTCATACATTCCGATGACCCAAATATTCGGGCCTTTGTTTTTTTAATTTCAAACCTGTCCAAACATAATATCCCATCATGTCTTTTGTCGCCACAATGGCTCTAGCCGTCATCTACGAAACACTTGCTGATGTGCAGATCAATGTGCATGACGCTGCTAGTGGAGAAGGAAGTTTGTGTCAAGCTAATGCAGAACAAAGTCAAAAGCTCAAGAGGAAAAGTGTATGGATCAGGCTGCTGACACGATTAGGTCCTTGATTCGGGCGATACTGCTGTTCACATTTATCCAGCCAGTGTTGTGCTCTGGTCATTGGTGTGCAATCCTAATATCGAATCGAAGCAATACTGGTACCGACGATGTATTGTAGGTCAAAGATTTGTGTGAGTACCGATAGTTGTCCGTACGCGGCCGCCGCAACTATTAATCTGCACTGATTAACCTAAGAGAGATTCACGTTCACATCAGCGGTATGCAAATTGCTGCCGTCACAGCGAAACATACCATAAAACAGAAATCCACAAACTGGCCGGGAGTCAAGGTCATACATAGGATATTTGCCGCGTCGCTACTATAACCAAGCCGGTTGTACGACAAGGCTCCGAAATGAGCGAGATCCGGCGCTCAACATGTCGAGCGAAAAGGCGAGTTCAAAAGGCATATTTCTGCTAGTTTTTTCGCCAGCCGGGTAGACCCGGCAAAAACGTATGAGCAACAAGGGGCGGGGGCTTAAATTCTGTTGACCAATACGTTGTTATTGAAATTTTATCAATACTTTCCAAATCATCACGTCCGTACACTTCGTTTTTATCACCCTCGACGTCTATTTATGCACTTTAGGTACACACCATATGGTGTACGCTAGATAGACAAACCCAACGCAACGTGTTGTGTTCTTTAGTGTACATGAGCGTTTGTGATTTGTGCGTGTGCGTTAACATAATTTATAAACCTTTTGTAGCCGCCTTTGTAAGATATGGGTGCGAGGCTTACTCGTGTGCAGGATGTAAAGGATGAATCGAGTTGTTGTGGTGATGTACATTCCCTAATGCAAATACACACTTGCTACGCGTAAGATTACACCCCATATCGATCAAGTATCGCACCAAATTTGCATTACGGAGAGCCTGTGGCGACAGCAGCCTATAGCGGAGAATTGACGACGCTCTTCGCTTCTACCCAAAAGTGGCGTTGTTGTTTTGTCCAAAAACTCAGAGCGTGAATCTTGGTACGTTTCGCCATCAAGACATCTGGTGGCATTCGGTACATCAGCGATGAAATAATGTTCTAAATCCGAATGTCGATACAACGAGAGGGTGTTGCCCGTATCGACGATGTAGGTAAGAATTGATTTGAACGTGATGCACGAAGTAAACTGAAACGCTCGGCCGTGAGCTTATGCCTGACTTTGCAAATGGCTACTGAGAGAAGAAACAATGACAATACCACAGGGCTTTTAACATCGACTTTATTGCCTAATACGTAAAGCGAGATCCACCAAAATGTAAATGGTATAAGGTTCCGCACCTTCAAGGCTGCCGGGCATGTGAAGGCGTGGTACAGAAAGCATTTGCACTTAACCTTCACATGCATACTTTCAGATGTATTCTTTACGTATAGATGCTGGTGGATGCAACGCACGACTTTAGTTGTAGTAAAGAACAAAGATGTTAGGATGAACGGAGCGAAAAGACAGAGATGTAGGAATGAGATAAGGTGACACGGCACAGGATCTGTTGGGCGAGTAGTTCTCCACTTAGTATCACATATACTTTATGGACTTCAAGTTGTTAGAGATGTCGTTTAGTGCGGGGTTCTGTCATGTTTATAAGCTTCACCACGCATGGTCTACGCGTTTAGCACGACCGCTACGACACACAAGACCACACACGTCGTTATTGTCGGTTTCAACAGCGACGGAGAAAGATAGAAAGATAGAAAGATGCCTTCAGTGAACACCTACCTGATGGATTTGGAGAAAATTAAAATATTACAATAATGCTTTGATAAAACGTATTCTTGGAACGCTTATTTATATAGATAAGCTTCGGCCGTGATTGCCTGAACGGAAGCTAGGATACAGCGGAGATTGATAAAAAGAAAGAGGCTGGCCAAGATCACACATCAATCAAAAAGTTGCTTTTTTGTTCGTCAAAGCAAGTCATGATGACGGGAACCGGCACAAAATTATGGGGGACTCATTTCTATCTATCAGGGCAAGGTGTATCCTGCTATGCCGGCGAAGAATGAGTATTGCTTACAGGCCGACATGCAAATATTACCAGCGAGATGGGGGCCTAAAACCCCCCCCCCCATCCCTTGGAAAACTTTCCCCCAAAACACCCCCATTGATTTTAAAAAAAATTAAAAAAAATTCTTTATTTCATATCTCTCAAAACATTTCCAGTAGGCTGCCCCGTTACAAAAGGAATGTATGGTGTCACTCGCAAAGGGGATACCCTCCGCTTGTACTGGCACAGTATAATCTACCTTCCAAGACACAGTGCGGGTATTTGCCTTGAACCTTCACGTACACTGTACGGTTTTTAAAACACAAAAAATATTTATCTAATTTAGTAAGAGAATAGATTTGCCAAAATTGCTTTACTAAGAAAATTTGAGAAAGTATAATAATCAAGTACGACATTTTTTAAAAATAGTAATATCATTTTTACATGTAAAATCTTCTTTTTTACATGTAAATTTGATATATGCATTTCAATGCATTTTAGAACTTACACTAGAGTTAAATTGTGATGGTCCAGATGCAATAGCGTATCAAGCATCTCTATGACGACGCTTCCGTCACATCGCTAAGTCCGTTATTTTATAGAAATTGGATTAATTGAGATAATATATAAAGGTTTACTAAATATTTTCTCTATCCAGGATATACAGCATTATAGCATGACGCACAAAGTTAACCTCTATTGTAAATAGCATGCAGATGTTAAAAAGTTATTGTAGCGAAGTCATTTTTCACAGGTGTACAAAGACAGATGCCGGTGAACGGTATTGTTTGTGTTTGTATGACAAAGTACGCGTCAAAGTTGCTTCGGAAAATAATCTTTACAAATACGCAAAAATTAGGAATCGGTGGGCAATCGAATGAGCAAAATTAAATAAGATTCTATGCAAAAAAGTTCTGAGTACGCAAGGCAGCACGAAAATTATATTAGATGAATAGACTTAGTATCTACCAGAAGCTGACTCTATAAAGAGAAAAGATGCCTTTTTATATTTTAGCGGGGTAATTTTAAGCGTAAAATTCTAAAATTCAATTGAAACAATATATTGAGGAGTAGTGTAATAAAGCTTTTGGACGTGCTTGTTCTAGATCACCAAAAGGTAAAATCAAGTTCAAGTGGAGATCGTAAAGAATGAACAGGAGAAGTGACGATGGTTGAGCTACCCTAAAAAGCTTTGTGGCTCTTTTTCTTAGTGTATCGACACATACCTCAATGAGCATTTCATTACGCGTATGAAGGGTTTCATGGCACTATATAGCATGGGTAATGGAAGCCAAGATTAGAGTATCGCTGATGGAGTAAATGCCACTTCAGATAAGGTTGAAAATTTATATATTGTATCACTTAATACGCAAGTTGTCTACTTCGTCATTAAATTAAAGACATTCGTCGAAAGCAGGCTGTAACTGTAACGGGGTAGCCTGTTAAATGAAAATTGTCTTTAAGAAGAAATTGACAACCGAGAATATTACGTTGAATATTCTTTCAACAATATCAAGAGCATGATGATATTGTTGAAGATGACCGAAGGGTCTACTCATTGGTTGATGTCGTGATTATATCAACCCAACAATCGCTGCTAGACGCGCGCAATGAGTGGTGAGTAGACGTCATCATACAAATAGTTACACTAGTATAATAAAGTCAGGACAAACAGAGATACAAGAGTTATAGGACTTAACTATATTAAATAACAGTTTTATTTTTTCTACGACAAGAGTCTTTCACCTTATTCGTTCTATCTTCCTCTGTGTAGTTCTACACCTAGCTGGGCACTGACTATCACTACAGTCAGTGATAGTAAACTCAGTACTGGCTGACCATTACGTAGACGTCGGTGCCTTGTTACAGTAACCTCCTTGAACTAGCTTAGCACTATGTCAATGCTTCTTAATGGCGTGCGCTACTCATTTAAATTTTTTGATCCATTTACATAATCGATCTGAGATCATCCATGAACAATCAGAATTCCTTTTTTATTCAAAGTTGTAGACTCTCATGTACTGGCAATTCCACAGGCACCAAAGAAATCGAGTAGCAAGCAAGAAGATTGTTATCGCGAATTGTGCCGTTACAGATGGTCTTGAAGACGTGAGTGTCTAGCAGAAGATCCTAGATAATGTGAAGTTGGAAAATTAAGCGACATACAGCGGGTATAGATTTAATTCATGACATAAGGCCCAATTGACGTAAGGTAATTAATTCTATAGACTGCACCTCAGCGAGCAACAGCCATAATCGTTTTCGAGACCCTCGATGGGAATGTGACGCAAGTGAACAAAAAGATGTAATGGTCAACTTATGTCTTAAATTAATAGTTAAGCACACCCAACAATCTACATTTTCG